CAATTTACCAGCTCGCGCGTGCAATGCGCAGCTACTTACCCCCCAATCATCGGTGAACGAAACTGTGGCAGCTACAACCAGTGTACGACCAGTACGCGTTTATTACAGCTGATAATGATGATGATGTCAGAGAATAAGGTAGCCGTAATGGGTAGATCGAAGAAAACTCTACAAGCTTTTCAATGTTTGTGTTGATACTGGTAAATTCACAGCATCCATACTTAATATTTATTTTAGGGATCGTGGCAGCCGAATCACCAGATAATGTGCGAAAATTTTATAAACAGTACAACAATGAAAGATTTGCAGCATATCGAATATGTTTAGAACTACATACTTTCGACACGTTTATTTTAAATTTACTGATCTTCATCCGTTTTACTAATGTGGACCTGGATCTTTCAGGTCAAGCAAAGATATGGCATTCTCCTTGAATCAACATATCCCGAACAATCAGCAAATTAGGCCAACTGCCACTAATTTACTAACTTGCCAAGAATGACTCCTATGAGATGAGCCCACTTTATGCCTGCCACACATCAGAGCTGTTTATGCCGGCGAGAACATTACGGGTGACAATTAAGTCCATAAACAGACTTGGGGAACAAAAGCTTCAGTATCTGGTTCCACCATGTTGATCTACGTGCATTTTGTCGCTTAAATTCGGACTCTCATTTTCAAGCCGGTGATTCCGCCGCCGATCGAAAACTTCCTTGTGAGCACATGAAAAATGTTTGATGAAGCTTTCCTAAGCAACACCAAGTTGGAGCAAAATAAAGTTTTGCTGTTTGCACCTTCAACTGATTGTCTAGTATCTGCGAATAACCACACTATAGGAATGTGTGGTGAACCGGTCACGGGCAGTAGATATGCAAGAATACGGACCAACGAGGACTTTTAGCTGGGTGTTCCTCGCTCCATCAAGATACTGCTAGCACGATTTGGTGGGTACTTCTTTGACTGCTGTATAAATTCAGCTGTAGTGTTATTTTTCACAAAAAGCCGTTCCAACCATCCGTTCCTTATGATGCATAGTAGCGAGCGGAGCAGAAAGGCAAAGAGGTTCGACGGCGTAGCGCTGCTCACTGTCATAATCACCGTTCAAATAAAACACCAAGACGGGTACATCTACCCCCAGCATCTGTTCAGCACTTTTAAATCATGGTGGAATCTGCTGCAGCGGCAACCTGAGTGTGTGGACAAGGGTTTTCGAAAAACAAATGTGGTCTACTTGTGGACAAAAAATTTGCATCATGATAGGGTGCGAAAATATTGGTGTGTTGATCTGTTCGTTTGCCTCAGGATTCATCATCATCAGCTATAAGAACCGCGTACTTGTCGTACAGTGGTTGTAGCTGTCACAGTTTCGTTCACCGATGATTTGGGGATGTGGGGTAGATAGCTAATGTTCTGATAAATGTTGACGAAGCATCGTCAGTACACAGCCAGCACCCAAGTTATAATTATAACAGTCTAAAATGAATTACCGATATGGTTTTCACCCGTTTTATTGTGTTGGTACCGTGTCCAGTACTCTTTTAACACAACGGCTACTGGTTCTTTAAACGAAATATGCATATCTGATTTACATAACTGACGTATTCTAAGGGCGCCTTCCGTCTACCGAAGGAAAATGATCCCTGGTGACCACGCAACGAGCAGCAAACATTGGAGACCTGCAATATACCACTTTATCAGCATAACAGGGTGCACATTTTGCGGCATTCAAATAGTCTGTTTGGTACACTCAATTAGCCATCAACTAATACACTGTGATATCACTGTACACTTTCGAAACACCGTCCGTTTCAAATGTTATTCGTCAAAAATGGCTAGCGGTATCCGTATGCCTATGTGCTTCCTTTCTTTTCAGCTTTTGCATACCATCTACGGTGGCGTCACTGCATGTTTCTTTGTCTTGGTGAGTTTCGATCGTAATCAGCCTCATTCGGTTGTTTGTATTACACTGAACTTCTCAGTCGTTTAGTCTTACGTTTTGATGCATGTTATCTCGGCAGTGAAGGCGACCAACGAAGTTGTCGACTGATGAAACTATGAGCTTAAACCTGAACTACTGTTGTGCCAACAGTAGTCGAGATGTGACGAGACCCCTAATTTGGGTCTGGGACCACCACCCAGCGAGGCCGCCGAGATATTCATGTACGTCGCAGTAGCTGCGCGAAATAGATCCTCGCTAAATACAAGTAGTTACCCCGAGGTCAGCAACGTATAGCTGCCCGCTAAAGAGCCAATGACCTTGCCTGGGCCTTACCTGAAAAGTCTTTTGTGACCGAACATCCAGACGAATTCCAAGCCCATAATTAGGCAGGCCTTTGTGGAAGACAATAAACGGTACGAACAGGTTAAAAAAAACCACGAACAATCAAACTGTCTTATCAAGTCAAATATTTTCCGGGATGAAAAACACTGCAGCAGTGTCTCCATATCTAGTTAAACTGATTCTAAGTGTCATGAAATAATACCGATCTTGCTTACAAAAACTGACTATCCATCTTTTCCTTGAACGCATCTTCCTGAACTTTCCTGGATATTCATTGACTGTTGCTCAAATCCAAGCAAATGCTACAAAGCGACTCCAAAAATTCCGTAAGAGCTCTCACTTTTCAAGAGACGCAAAGCGGATTTACGAGAAAACGTACTACTCGCATGTCTCCCAGCCAGTAATATCATCGTTACACCAGTAGCCCCTGTTCCGAAATGTTGTTCGTTCTCAGTATTATCAGTCTCTATGAAAGTGAGATAATTTTAAATTGAGTTGATTTAATTTTTTTACGCCGCAGTAAATGGGATTGAAGTAGTGTGAGTACGCGTCTTTATTAGGCCATATATTTTCATTGAATGAATTTTTTTTTAAAGTGCCGCATTCACATGTGTCTATATCATCTTCAATCTAGTATATCATACTTGATACCCAAATGCTTATTGGCGGCCGGAGTGCTGAAATCAGTCCGGAAGAGTATATTTTTGCCGCGGTTCAACTATACGTGGATATTATTAACCTGTTCCTCATCATTCTCAGTTTGACTGGAAGCAGAGACTAAGATGAAATTCATCAGGGATTGCTAAGCTTCTATTGAATCACAGCTAGAAAAGGGGGATTTCCGTCCAAGATCCTGCGAAAGGTGGCTCAAACGCAGGAGAGCTTCAGTTGTCAGTTGCGTTTCACATATTACCCATATCTGGATTTCATGAAAAATGTTTTTGTCAAATCACCGGTTGCAGTGACGAAATGAATTGGGTTATCCGAAACGTTAATCTGTTCTTTTATGCATACCTGGGGAGTGGAAAGTCATCGATAGAATATGGCTGATGCAATGTAGCGTGAACGACCATAGGGTGAGGAAATTAAGTACCCCGTTTTGCAGGTGTCCAGCGGGAATCGCACCCTAGAACTTTCTAGTAACTGCATTTCGAATGCCTAATTCCCTCAACCGCTAACCAATCAAACATCCGCTTACCGGAAAACGGGTTTCGCAGCAATGATCTTTACCTCTGTGTTCACTGCCACTCTTCCAAAGAAACGCTGCCACCTGAGCAATCTAAACTAAAAACTCAGTCCTTCGACAGAGTGGACACTGATATGGTCAACCATCGGAGCGTTCACGATCTTGCAGCTAGCGAGAAACAAGACATCGAAAACCAATTCACTATATTTTTCTAGAAAGTATTTCCGGACCTGATAAGTATTCACATATTCAAAATCAGCAAGCAGTTTTACCCTTAAAGAGAGCTGAGTTAACCAGAAAGACGATGTTTTCATCGAAGAAAACTGCGTGAAACATTCGATGGTCGAAAAAATTTAGCATTCTTGGTAGCTACTCAGATGATCAGAAACCGATTGTTCGCTAAGGTAGCAGCGGTAACCCTATTTTTGTCGAAGTCAAGAAGGCATGTCTCGAAATTTGTGATCAGTGGTTTGGTTCTCCTCACTCACCGATAAATACACGGTACAACTGTACAACTTTTATGGAGAGGCCATGAGGTGGGGGCTAAACTCCATTGAGAAGGACTTAACACTCAAAGGATGCTTCAAAGAACTACCAGTGGTCACCTTGGGTGAATGGGGGGACAGTAATATATGAAACAAAATTCAAAGAATAATTCCAAGTACGAAAATGAAAGTAAAACTGCTCGCATTCAGGTCTAGCGATGGGATTCACCATGCATTACATAAACTGTGGTCACCGATACGTCAAAAAGGTTGAGGCTGTGTTCAAACAGAATTTGACTAAAGGAATGCCTGAGAGATGTATTGAAGATAGATATGAAGATGGTGGTATTATACACCCATATAAGATCAATTAATTCGGTGGAAAGCATGGCAAACTCAATCATCATATGTACTAGGATATATAGAGAAAAACAGTGGCTTTGATGGTATTTGGTGTAAAATGCAGGTAGCGGCAGTTCTCCAGACAAGAACTACCCACAAAGAATGATCCAGGTAGTTCTGATTTCTCACTGGCAACTCTTGAATGGCCACTGTACAAGTAGAGTTATGCACATATCTCAATGTTTGAAAACAACCTGAGACACCATAAATACCCTGTAGAGGCAGAAAAACGTACACAACCTCCCTATAAAGACCACGTCTCGCGTTCCAAAAATAAACGACCAGATGAATTGTTGAACTACAACATAAGAACGACGATCGCTATACAAAATATCCACACAAGGGACCGAGAACTTAGGTTTCAGTAAATTTCGACGCATGCATCTAACTAAATGTTGTAGGTATAAAAATAGATGCTGAGTCTATATGGGTCCTCGTGCTGCAACAACAAGACAACGTTTGGTTAACCAATACTACTTATAAGATCGAGGAAAACTCTGGACAGTGCTGCCGGTTTCAGTCTCCCTGGGCTCATTTGGCAGGCCCAGTGCCCGAATGTACATCAGCCTTATTTCCGAACTCAAAACTAAGTTATACACATGTTGCAATATCAGTTACAACAAAGGTATTAAAGCGAATTTCAGCTGAAGTTCCCATCAACAACGAATTAATTTGCAGTGTTTGTCGCCATAAATACGTGGTCAAGTGAGTCTACAGCGCCGACACGCCCCAAATGATGCACACGCATAATGCCACAGACATCTGGACCCAGACATCTGTGTGCTTACAGTGGCATGTCTGATACTCATTTTGCAGCTATCTCATAAGGCGAGGACCATGGCATACTCCGTTTTGCCTTGGCTGATGGTTTTCTTAAAATGATGTACAGTGGAATTGCCTACAAAATTATTCAGTGTTTCAAATCTGGTTAATTTCTTCCACAATGCATCTGCTGCTCGTCTAATTATCCTTGTAAGCAACAGTGTTTTCCCATTGACTGCTGACAGCGATGATCGACAAAAGTCTTCAGCTGAAGAAACAACTATTTTTGCTCAGTGGGTAGCATTCATCACTGATGATAATTACAGCTGAGGATATAATTTGCGAATATCGCGAGGTCACAGAACGTCCCACATGCTGTTTTCTGAATGTGCGTTTTAGTTCACTTGCACATCAGTTCGCGCTAGCAAACGTAAAGTTGATCAACCTGTCCTCAAACGCTCAATCAGATTTCATGATACTAAGTACGTTTAGTCTGCTCCACAAAAACTAGGAACCTTTTTTAAGGGAAAATTAGTAGAGGACAAAAGTTGGGGTGTAAGAGAATCTGTTTATTGACATTTCGACCACATCTCAGTTTAGTTCAAATAAATCGGGCCTAATCATGGGTAAGATGAATACAAGCAAATTATTTTGATAATCTCAGCGTGAGAAAAGTACAACAGTATTGACCCTCCAGTCGAGTTTGTGCATTTCATCGGCACGGACGACTATGGGGAGAAAGCTAGTTTCTCTTGTTGGGTTAGTTTCGATTACTAACGATCTACTAATCGTTCAGTTGTAACACCCCGTGTCAAACTCCCAGGCCACCCGAAGGAAGCACGAGGGCTGGGATACTGCCAGGATGCCCAGGCCTATACAGGAGCAGTCAAGATGCTGAGGGTGAGTTCGAACCACGGACCTTCTGGTCAGTGAGTTCGCGCCCAAACCACTCAGCTATCTCGAAGAGGGTTTGACCGAATCGCCAGGAAAGTTGGTTGTGCCACTATAATGAAAAAGTGTTCTTTAAATAATGTAAAACCGAAGGAAAAGTGAATGAAAACAGCGACTTTGTTTGAAGACCATGGATAGAGTCGAACAGTAACTGTTTCAGATAAGGAAATTTCACTGCATGTTTGTTGAACATTGTGCGAAAAGGATATTTCAACTGGATCAAATAAGAAAAGAACTATAGAAAATGTAAACAAACATAACAGGTTTCCTATAAAATCGAGTGGTTACATAAAACAAGTGATCTGGTTAGTTCCCCCCGTGGAAACTACCTTCCTGGCAGAATGGGCCACTTTGACCAGGCCCCGAGAGTCCCAACTGAGGTGGACCACTACAGCCCTGGAGAATAGTACGCATCGGTCTGTATTCTCCAGTGACTTTGCTAAAGTTAGCCCTCTCCCTTATGAATTCGGCTCTGAGGTGAAAGCCTCATAGAAATGAATTCATAAGATAATGCTTTAAGTAGAGGTCACTCCTATTTGATCCAATGAAGCCCGTCTATGATCGGGATCCACTGAAAAGCGATCACATTCATAGTTGCAGAGGAGATGCAACTATACTAGTCGTGCATCAGACATACAATAATCATGTTACCAGGCTGCTCGCCGCCTCGAAAAAAAAAACTGTCTGTCATATGGTCATTCAGAGATGTGCTTGAGAGTGCAACTGAAGAAAGTCTTTTAACCAGGCCTTGGTTTCGACCTAAATGGTTTTGCTGAAAACAAACTCACTAAAAAAACTCACGGTTGGAGTCATAAATTTGCATGATTCAACCGAGAAACGCACGTACTTTAACAGTAAATGAAGGAGACTGTGGTCGCCTTAAAAGTGAACAAACAAGGGGTGTTGCCATTTAATCTCACACCAGAGCCAGTATGACGTGCACTTTGTGCCTGATGTGCGAGTCTTGCTTGTGCTAACGCTTACCGCGACTTGAGGAGCACTCAATATTGCTTGTCCTTTCTTCTTACATACGTCTCATCTGACTGGAACTGTTGGTGGTATGCCTTCAAATGAGACGTTTCTCCCTTTTCTCCCATATTCTCCTGCTACCCTTTCGCATTCGTCGCTTGCATTTACCTTTTATGTTTGTGGCCATGCTCTTCAAAAATAAATGACAATAGTACTAGTAGCTAAAGTAGTCCAAAGAAGTGTGGATTCCAGTTACATCAAAACATGAAATTATGATATCCAATAGATTGAGAGCTGTATTTCTTACATGGCACGCTTTGTACACATAACAGGGGACTGTCAATAGGGGGTGGTCGATTGCGACCACAGCCTTCAAGTCTACGAGACGCTGAGGGCATGAAAGATGATGGTGGGACAAAGAAAGGTATTTCCAATGGGTTAAGAAAATATTCACATCTACTTTGACTTGGTTGAAGCGTTTGCGAGTGGTTTGATGGATCCATTAGGGACCGAGGTTTTCGCTGCAGACAGTGCTGCCTTCTTAGCCCGGACCTGTAGTTGAACAGATCGAACGAAACGGTACACAAAATAAGACAGTATTAAAGGGAAACACAACCTCAAAAGTGATCCTCGTGCTAAACATACCCAAATCTAAGGGGAACAAACATACAATTCTAAGGTCAACTTTTGTAATGGGTCACTCAAAAGCAGGATATCTAAATTATCACAAGCATACGCGCAGTCAGTTGGATTTTGCTTCAGGTAAATCACAGAAACAACATCGGTACTTCGACATTCTTTAAAAATAAAAATGGACATTTCATTGCCATCCTCTCGCTAAAGCGAGTCCATTAACTTTGACTTTTGTTTCTTACAAATTTAGAAGTCAGATTTGAATTAACACAACCTGTCACATCAGTTATCAAGCATATTATAAGTCGTTTCAGGGCGTCGACGACCAAACTTTTGTATCATATACCGTTGAGAAATAATGAATCAGGGAGTTAACTTACACCCCATTGTTCCCCTTTCAAGTTCAAGACCTGCTATCCAAAGATGCAGGTATAATTTTTACTGATGACTCATCTAGCTTGAAAGGGTAGGGCCTCTAACCTGGAGACCATCAAATACTACAGCACACAGTAATGAGGAAGTTAGACGGTGACAGAAACTTTTCGGAAAAAAATATGACGTACATCTTCCGATGGGATTGCATACTATTTCGCTTCGCCTCACTATCGAAACCATGGGAAGAACGGTTGCCCACTAGTTCACCATGTGGAAGTCGTCTAGAGTGTACGATGTCAGGGTTTCTCAGTGAATATCTCTTCAAATCTTGTCACTGCTTTCTGTAAATAACAGGTATGCGGGTCTTATTATTCAGCTAATTTGTTCTCCAAAGAGAGACGATTTCATCCACTTGGATCCTCTAGCTGTCACAGTCTATCCTTATTCAAACAGCAACCAACTCAGAAAGCTGAGGAACAAGACGGTGAGCTAGGAATACGAAATAGATTGAAGTGTGCGCGACGCATTTATGGGACTGATTGTATAAAGGATGAGTGAAAAATTCACTTGGAAGTGAACAAGAAAAGACAGTGCTGGCCTGATGAGAAACGTGTGAACATTAATTTCAACTTAGGAAGTTTCAAGAGCTGATAGTTCACAACAACTGGCGTTCACCAGCACCAACCTTAGGTGGACCAAGAATACAACCCGATAATGAAAATGGACTGGTAGGACAACGTACTTGTTCAGCAAGTTCCTTGCAACGCACCATGCATTCCCGTCTCGTACGAGTACCAACAACATCAGCTATCCGTTGCCACCTGTCTCCCTCAGTGGATTGTGTTGGAAAACTTCTCAATGCCTGCTCTAATGCGCGCTGTTCCGTCACTGTCCATGGACGATCAGCCTCGGCTTCACAAGAGAGACGGGGAACATGGAACCAGTGGTCAATGGAAATGAGGGAGGAAAGTCCGGAACGAAGTAACTAGCTTCAAAACAAGCATGTACTAATCAACTACCTACCGGAGGTGTGATTAAAGGTAAGGTGAAAGGCAAGAAAGCATGACGATTGTTTAACTAAGCAAGGAAATTGACAACAAACACGAAAACAGCCGGGGTTAGCAACAGGGTGGACTTACCTTCCAACTGACTTGTGATGGAAACATTCTTCACTGCATCGCTATCGCGTACCGAACTGGCAAAAGAGTCAAACGCTTTTTCGTTTGCTTCCTTTCGCAGGTTTACATCTGAAAAGAAGTTACGTGGATAGTCAGATCTCTGCTACGATCATGTGAAGGCAATTGGATGCGTTTCATAACCTATTGTGATGACTTAGTCATTGAGATCAGAAAACCAAGATGAAGCTCCTGAACGTCGACTTTGTCAACTACTTGCCATCCACAAAGGCTGAAATAATAGCTCAAATGAGGGTGGTAGACAGTTTAAATGGTTGTCCGAAAGAGTAACACCATTCAACCTGAGAACCCGCCGTAGTTCTTTAACCAAAAGGTTCCGCACTGGGTTATCGGTCCTTCTTCAACCAGCTAAGCAATATGTGATGCATTGAAGAGTGGATCCATTAAAGAAAGCCTTCAACCGTGATTCGGTATTGTGATGTACACTTGCTGTCCGTCTTTTTTTGAAGTAGAGTCCTTTGACAACACAAAAGTTGTCTTAGTAGTTCGTTGGCATAAAATAAGCTGGAACACTGGTGACATTTATATGCTACAGCCTCAATCAGCAGTTACAACAACAACCAACAGGTATATAGACATTTTTCAAACCCGATACGTCAAATCTGTTGCAGGGGTCTGGTGGTGACCATGCGGTCAAAAACAACCCATTTAAGAAGTTGTAAACTCTGCTCAACTTACCATCCTGACTCAAACTCTTTGCTTGCTTCAGAGCTTCTTTGGCAGAGATAGATGTGCCCGGAGCATGCTGATTCACGTACGCAGCGATTGCCTCCCACCTAAACAAGGTACAAAAGGAACAGTATTAGGTTCGTGAAACCAACTTTTATGTTAACCGTCGATAGGCTGTGGTGTTATTTAAGTGGCCATGATAGTTTTGTGTTAATGAGTTGAGTTTGAGTGAACTAGGAGGCCCAGAGAACACCCACTTTAAAAATCTTGATTAAGTCTGTACTGTGTCCATTCAAGCCTGCGCTGACTGACCCAAATCGTGCGGGATCCATCCATATACAAACTACACAGATATTTTGGTAATACAGTGGGTTTTCCGATGGACACAACTCGAATGAGACAAACTAGACATCGTCCCTACGAAGATAGAACACTGGGCCAAGCAAAATCAGCTGATCCAGTCATCATAGCGACAAGTATGGTTCTTCCATGATTCACAAAAATGGAACGTATCATTCACTTCTTGCAGATTCCTTCTTGAGGGGTGCCACTTTACTCAAGCACACTTAGTACAATCAAGTGTATGAAGGTCAGTGGGATGGAAGCTAATTACTCCTGTCCGAACGTGCATACAATAATTTAAAGTAACCAAAAAACTTATTGTTCAAATTCTAGCACCTGCAGTGAACAATGGTGGTTGACCCTTGAGTTAATTTCCATAAAAAAACTGGAAACATGGTGTGTAACTAAGCACATGAGATGATGCATGAAGACCATGTTCTCGACAACGGAAATGACCAAAAGTGGGAGGCTAACTGCAGGTATAAGCTCGAAAGTTGCACAGATTTGGAATAGAAACGTGTGGTGGATTTCACTGGCCTCGCAAACCTATAACAGCCGGAATATAACATAATGCGACCGGTTGTCAGGCTTTCCGTTTCCAACCGTAAGATTCGTGCAAGTACTACACACAGGGAGTTCCAATTCTACTGAGTAATGGCCAATGACACAGTGGAAAGCGGCCTAACCAGAACAACTGAGACAGACTTATGGAGTATAGTGGGACCTCCAAAGAACTAGCCTCGAAGACCGAAATAAAGAACGGACGACTTTTTGCATTTATGAAAGCAACCACGCACCCTGATGTTTTGCAGAAGTTGAGATAAAATGCAAGGTGTGAAAGGAAAATACAGTCATATCTCCTTAGCGGGATCAGAAGATAGCTTTTTGACTAAATGGTAAAAAGATACGTTTGGAATGGCTTAGTTTGTGCATACACTATTTAAGAATTCGTACCGAAAGAAAGATCACGAGTGTGATGTTAAAAGAATACAAGAACACTCTAACAAATTTGCCCTAGGTTACTGAGCTGTACTGCAACAAAGTGGAATATTCCTACTGTTGGAATTACAACGTACAATGAATTTAAAAAGTGGTGTTAATTATTCGCACAAAAATTCGCCAAAAGAATTGAATAAATCCTATCGAACCGGTCCGCGCAAGTAGGCCACGACGGGATAGATCGGAAGGTAGCACCGAAGACTCCAAGTCATCTTCGTCCCGTCTACACAATTTTGTCAAATGTAGGTTGATTTCAGATGTTCGTATATGAAGGAACCCTCTACTTCAAAATGTTGCTGCATGTGGGCGATAAACACCTTGGATCGACGACCGTTCAGAAAGGAATTCTGATCATTCATCGGCTGAAGACTGGTCAAACAGAGAATGTCACATATTCCAGACTCGTCAGTTGTTTCAAACGGTCGTGAAGCACATGATCCAGTGGTCCATGACCTGAAGATAGACCGGACGGACGTGCGACTACTCCCTCAACATTTACCTGCTGAGTCTCAATGGGGAGCACAGCGCTATTACGGCTAGGTTTTTCGGATTAGACGACACCTCTGCCGGATTCGACACACAATACAGAACGCATCTGTTTTGAATCTTCAGGTTCTCGATAGGCCGCACATCACTGTTCTGGCCACAAAATATTCAGCTCCATTAACGGTCACGCTATTTTTGAGCATGAACATGCTGTTTGGTTTGTTAACATTTCAGACCATCTGTCGCACTCAAAGCGACTCTAGTCTGCATAAAAGGTCATCGGTGCGTAACCGAACAAAGTTCGCTCTGTTCCACCCGTCAAATAAATTTGTCACGACTGAGATGGGATTCAGTCAATCAACCTTTCATTGACGAGACTCGAACAATGGTTATGTTGCCTCCACATATTAACCGGTGATGGTGCTCTCCCCAAAGTCAACATTAAGCCAGATCGAAATCCATGTGGGTTTTTCCATCAGTCTGATAGTTGGTGACACCCTAACACACAAAACCCCTTGGCCGACACTTAACAGAGATTTAGCATGACTTAGCTGATTGGCTCTCCTTCACCTTAATTCTCGACCAACCTCGTAACTTAGTCGATTCGCCTGACGAAGCTTTTGTGTCAAAAGGGAGACGCTGCCCAGGAATAAATCTATCTATTGTAACCAAACTTTTCCGAAAACCAGTCTGCCCTAACTTCGCCGCGGCCGTCAGAGTAGATAAGTTGATAAGATTAAATTGTTCAAATGTAACACCTTTTCGGTACCTAGCTGCCATGCAACCCGAATAGAGCAAGAAAGCAGGGACACTGCCAGGTTGCCCGGGCCTCGACAGGAGAAGTCGAAATGCAGAGATCGGGTTCGAACCAAGGAACGTTGAGTCCGTTGAAAACTTCTGTTGTTTTCATTCTTGACCATTCATTCTTGTGACCATGTACGTTCCGGAGAAATAAATTTTCATGATATCTTGCAAGGATGCGATTGTTTTGGGAAATACGCTAAGCGTACTAGGGAAAGTTAAAAGTAGCAGTTGACAGTTGCACCCGGGGAAAAAACGAGTGCCTAAACCTTCGTATTTATTGGGCCACTTTTCATGCAAAAATTTTAAAAAGACAAGAAAGAAGTGTGGTATGAGACTACATTTTCCGAGGGCCAGATGCAATTACAGCCAAGTCAAAAATCAGCGGGGATAGCGTGCGTCTGACTATTGCATAACGTTCCGTCCGAATTAAGCGAAACATTATGCAGTCACTGGCATAAAAACCTTCAATTGGAACCATACCAACCTAGATGGATTCGAGTATATCAGTTCTCAAACATTTGAAATAACACATTCGAAGGGTATTGGTTCACCGTGTACTGACTAAGTTAGGATAAGAAACCCAAAAACGAACTGAGCACGAAGAACCATACCGTTTTGGAGTGCCAGCAGGGAGGAGATTCACAGCCTTTACTAGTGTACGGATAACTTCCGGCGGATATTTTGAAGTGGATTGTGCTGAGGTACTAGTACTGGAAGCATTCGATGTTTTGGTGCTAGACTGCAGGCCCGGCGCTTGAAGCTCCTGTTGAACTTCTTGATGCTGATAAATACAATCAAGACAGCGATATTTGAGTGACTAAACAGAAGCAAGTAATCTTGTTTTTTCATAGTTATTACGAAAATGAGTAGCTTCAGGATGTTGGGGACTTGGGTTCGCGTCGGCGTTCTCCTTATGTTCATCCGAATAATCACAAACTCGACACTGTCTTTTGAGAGGAAATCAGTGGTAAAAATTACTAGGTAGTCGACCGAGGTGGAAGACCACTCTTACATCCGACGAACATACATGATGAGGGGTGTTCAGAACGCGACTACTTCTGTCCTATGATCCGTCTTTAAATGCAGGACACCGTCAAATACGTGCACTGTTCATGAGGTCTAACGAGGGTGGGACTTATCGCGGCGAACAATAAACAAAGGAAGACGAAAGGAATAAGCAGATACCTTTGAAATATGTATGTCTACAGCTTGGAGTCAGGTTCTTATGACAACATCTGGCCAAAAACATGAGCGAAATACAATAGGTGAAACCGCGATGGACCGAGCGTGGTGGTTGATTTCAATCCAGGGGAGGCACCAAAGCTTTTTGGGTGTTGCTGTGGTGTCGACAGACTTCGATAGAAACGCACTTTCGTCGGGTTTACGGCCGTGAGATATACATACAGACAGTGCTCATGACAAAAGTGGTAACCCAGTTCGAAATAGGTTATGGTGACAACGTCGCTGTTGCAGACTGATTGGAAAATCCATTTTGCCCCATGAAAAAAATCGTTGACCTGCAGCACCATTTTGGTGCCTAACTGCCAGGTCACCAGGAAACATGAGGGATGGGATAATGCCGGGTTGCTCATGCCTAGACAGGGAAAGTCGAGAGGCAGAGGTCGGGTTCGAACCACGGACCTTCCGGTCAGTAAACTTGACCCAACCACTGGATCATCTTGCCCCTTTGCCCCATGAATTATGTAGCGTAAGATTGTGGTCGTTATCGGGTTTTGAGCCAAATAATTTCAGGTCATTTTCTGACTCCTAATATTTGCTTCCCAAAGCAAGCGAAACAAAAAAATCAGAAACAGATTTACTGGGATATTGGCCTCATTGCCACCGGACCAAAGTCTGTTTAAAAAGTACTGTCCACTGTGTGCGACAGAAACAGGGTAAGTGTGCGTTTATAACTATAAGGTTGTGTATAACCTACTGGGGTTACATCCAGTATGTTGTTTTTTAAGCACCTTAGTCAAACAGTTGTTGGTATTCAATGAACATAAGTGCAGCACTGTAGGTGCACACGTAAACGTTTCTCACGGTCACGGCAAAGCCTAGCAACAAAGCAGCCGTGAGGATCCATGCTAATCATGGTGATCAATATAAGTACGGCATCCCTAAACATAAAAACACCATAGATCACACACTGTGGTTGGATCGCATGACGAACGTCACGGACTAGCCTAAATTCAAGTCCTTTTGGAGCTACCGGGCCACTGTGAACGATGCAATGTTGCCAATTGGTTGTTGATCCGATGGCAGCTCGTCCGTTCGCCGAGCTCCGCAAAAGGCCAGTATGGATAATTTAGCAGTGTAACACCGTGTAAGAGAACGTGTTTTGGCGGGTATTTTGAAGGGACCAGAGGCACCATTACAACTATGTGGTGGTTTTGGAGCATTTTTTCAAAGGATAAGTGCCATGTGACAAAGTTGAGTGAAAAGTAGAGGGCCGATTCATTCGTTAAATTGTTGTTAAATTCGATGAGAATTTGATGTCTTTGAATGACACGCAAGTGTTCCAAGAGCGAGACGGCTCAGTGGTTGGAGCGCGAATTTATTGACCGGAAGGTCCGAACCCGACCTCTGCCTCTCGACTTCCTCTGTCTAGGCATGGGCAACCTGGCATTATCCCACCACTCGCGCTTTCTTCTGGTGGCATGGCAGTTAGGCACCGAACGGGTGCCACAAGTGAACGATTTCGTTTTTGTTTTTTATACCAGGAGCGCTGTAATTCCATCTTATTTCTTTACTGGACTAACCGGCTTTAAGTCCCAGTTTCAAACATCGGATGGCATGTAGGACGTTGACTGAGACGAATGTATATGTCACACCTCAGACGATCGAAGAAATGATGGTGGAAATCGGTTTGTTTTCTGGAAAGTATGGTAACCGATGATCAGTACTGAAAGGCACTCACGTAGTAAGGCGGTCAAGGCTGCACCCAAATGATCTTGGACGCCATAGCGCTTCGCACCCTTATAGTTGTTGTGCGCCATTCCTACGGGTGTGCACATGTATTCGAAAAATTTCGTATGTATTCGGCAACTACCAGAACTTGACAAGAATTATTGGGAAACTCAGGATGATAGCAGTCGGAGACAATGGGTTCCCAGCACCACAACAGTGCCTAGAGACGTTTGCGCTCAAAAGCCAATAACACAACGAGATAAATGAAAGAAAGAGAATTGACTCCGAGTACGATATCTCTCATTAGTTCAAATAACGTTTTGTACGTGAGGCACATTTAAAGGATACGAGTCAACAGTCCAGGCATTCTAGTTATCAGTTGCCACGAATGTGCTTCCCACAATTTAGTTAAGGTTCCAAAGTCGAAGAACCGAGCTGCGGGCTCAAGAACGCAATAGTTATTGGAAAGTGGCCAAAGGCAACTTTTGACAATTGACATAAAGGCCAAGTGTCAGGACGCACCCAGACATGGAAAAAGCACATATGCAGAGACTGACGCATCCCCAAAGTCACCATCGGTACGACACGTCCGGAAAGCAGGTGCGTTGGCGGAGCTCACCAAACACGGCTTAGCAACATATGACCAGCGGGGTGGGCCTGAAATTACTCACGCCTGGAACACTGCCATTGGCTGTACAGAGCGAACAAAAGAACGACCATATTTGACCATTTATTCATCCTATATATTTACGCAGAACCTCTGTATATTTTGTCCTAACAATAGAGTCATGTCCCGAGTTCTCTGTCTTCTCCTTATCGTGTAGTCTGGCAGGCTCAGAGCAGGCGTAACCAATAGACACGATACAAAATAAAGCAATGAGACTTTACAAATATCTCGCACGGTCCGCCGGACCTAAATCACCCGATTGCTGTCAAAAGACCTGTGCAATATCGTTATTCCGATTTCGAATAGATGTACGTGTCTCACGTTAACGATGCCAAGTGCCATCATCCAGCGTGTCCACTAACCGATGATTAAAAAGTCAAATATATGTAAAATCGAATCTGATGGAGGCAGACAAAATGTTAGGAAGCCACATGGAAACTCGACCTTGGAATTGAAAATTGAGCGGGCCTCTTCCACTGAAGAGGTTTGTTCAAGCTGGTTGTTCAAATCCTGAAGACTGAAAAGTGAAACAAGTGGCTTTTATGAAACTTGCTCCCAAAGAAAAGTAAAAATAAACTGCTATATGCTACTTGGTGTGCAAATAATAGAAAATCCCATACAAACAAACAGCTCAGCCACGACACGGAGGGACACTACTTGAACTCTGCTACGTCCGCTGCGTTTTTCCTCCAAAATATGAATCCCCGTAAGGGCAACACTCTCTGAGTTAACCTTGAGCCTGATTTACAAAATAGAAACCCGCAGAAGGGATCGTAAATAATGACAATCTCGGTTCCAGTTCTTCTTAATGGGGACGGATTTTTCAGAAATCTGGAAACATGAACGTACCATGGCAAGGCAACTGACAGCCGTCTAGCTCCGGCGAACCAGGCTGTTTGAAATCAAAGTTTGACTTCATTGGTCAACCCCGGTGCGTATCCGGTTTTGACTAATGCGTTCAACAACGGAATTTGCCGGACAAGAGGGTGGCCCCTTTGGTTGTGTATTGCATTGAGTCATGAGGTTTACAATGGAACATGGGATAATGACAAAAAACTCAAAATGTTGGTGGCTCAGTTGTGCAACCAGTCCTCAGATGATCACACGATAAAAGGTGAAATGTGTAGAACCCCCAAAGGTGACGTGCATATCGTTCAGCTCAATGAACAAGATATCAGGGAATAGAATTTAGCTAATTTCAAGTCGTTTGGGGTAGACAATAAGAAAGATAAAAAATAATAATGATAATAATCGTCCAGCTGTAACACCATTTCGGTGTCTAGCTGCCGTGCCACCAGAAGGAAGCACGAGGGCTGGGATACTGCCAGGTTGCCCGAACCTGGACAGGCGAAGTCGAGAGGCAGAGGTCGGGTTGGAAGCACGGATCTTCCAGCCAGTAAATTCCTAAACCACTGAGCCACCTGGAGCTCCGAGTGTAGACATTTTCCAGAAATTCAGAATAAAGTAAGTTCTAGAACACAGATTTCCAGTTACTATATGAAGCGCTCATGTATGCACCTCAACTTACTGCGTGTTTGAAAGACGTTGGCAGATTAGATCCAGAGCTGCCAGGACCCGTACTCGTTCAGCCCCTGGGTCAGTTGGCTGGGGATCGACAAGCACAAAGTGGTCATGTCGCTCAACAACGATCTCGCGTAGACGCCGCCGCTCACGTCTGCTCTCTAACCGAGTTTGTTCCCGTTCCTTTCTCACACGTTCTGCTTCTACACGGCGGCGCTCCTCGCTTGCTGCTCGCTCTGCCGCGAGCCTCTCGGCTTCCAGTCGAGCTTGCTATGAATAAAAGTGGGAAGCGAGACGAGCAAGGTAGACGGGCATAAATCATGCGAGAACAGACAATCCATGTAATGCAGCTCAAAAAATCACGCATCCGCTTCGATTTACGGCGTTCAAACAGGGACCATACTGGCGGACTGACTGAGAAATTATCTGATCTAGCTGCATAAGGGTTCGGGGGATATAACGACAACAAAAGTCCTGTGATACAAAGGAGAAAAACTGCGTGCGTGAAATACCAAATAAAATTAAGAGGAAATGTGAAACGCAGTACAGTACACAGCTGACTCCTCTATTGGCACAAATAAGCTCGCTGTGAACCAACTTCCGCATGATGAACGGGGACCTAATTTTCACAGTGGTCGTGTCATCAAAATTAGAGGTTGGGTTATGCGTGATGATTTGTCCTTTAAAAGCCTGTACACTAGGGCCGAAAATTACTGAACGTACGAATACGAACTACACTGTGGTAAACAGTGTCATAAACGTTCCGGCGTATTGCTGTCGTTGACGACGAATAAGATGAGATGCTGATACTGTCTTCTCGTACCGGTAAATCCTGATAAGACTTAAAATCAGAACTCCCCTTATTGTGAGCTTGTGGGTGGCTAGGGGATACGTGGTGTTCACATTCACATCACTCTCGTTTGAACAGCCATCCACCTGTGCTGGAGTGATTATTCTAGTGAGCTCACACCAAAGGGGGGAAGCACCGGACTCGAGTTTCGCATTATAGTGCGCATGGGATGAAACAACTGCATATGCAGCTTGGCCAAATCAGATCATACTTTTGCAATAAATCATAGAAACACGGATGTGCCAAAAGTGAGTCCATTTCCAGTCCTTAACACATGGAGCCAAAAAGTTAACTTCATTGTATACCGGGGGTATGCACCACCAGAAAAGATGCAACCAAAATACCTGTTCTTCTGCTTCACGACGCTGACGAAGAGCATCCAAGCGAGCCTGCCGTTTAGCTGCTTTCGCGTCACGTGCTGCCTTCCCGGCGGCCAATAACCGCGGATCGTTGGACCTAGCAAGCTCCACAACTTGCCGGATGGTGCGCAGTTCTTCAGCTCGTCGTCGGGCTCGCTCAATCCGGTTCTGACGCTCAATCGCACGACGAGATTCACGACTTCACGAAAAAAATATACAGACAGACGTATGACAATTCAGTAGGGCTACTAGGTTGGCGAGGATATTCAGTCAAAAATGCACCTAATAACACGAAGTGTAGTCCAGCTAATGTGAGACTTGGGCAACAGCTAAGTAACTGATCGAGTTGACTAGTTATCCAGGAATATCACCATCAACTTGAATGTTTTTTGTTTTTGCGTCGATTCTATCGTTTACTATAGAAAAAATTCGTCAAACGCTGTCAGTAGCTTTTTACCAGTGACTCGTGCTATCTACCAGTACAAGCCGAAATACGACTACCTCAATTATAAAGCGACCGGATTCTTAGTTCCTGACTTGCAGTTGTGTACCATATTTCCGAGACTACCACCGATATACGGGCCACCTCTTGCTCGACACGTGATCAGCGTCGTTTGAGCTGAAGCTTTTTGAGTAATAAAAGTAGACTAAGGTCGATAGCACATTCCAGAATAGGTTGATGAATGTAGGCAATACAGGAAGAGATCAAAGTAACAGCACGCAGCACTGAACAACCACAATAATTCCTCCATAATAAGGTGGTATTAAAGATGGTTGAACAAAGTTTCGGACGGCCGTAGATCAACTTATCTCTTGCTAACATTCGTACCAGAAACGGAATGGTTACAAGCAGGGACGTTGGAGATACGGTATTTAGGAGTGACTACCCATGGGACGCTTCTTCAACCTTGAACCTCACCATAAATGTGATAACACATTCTTCAATTGCATCGATAGTGAAGCGCGCCACCAGCTAGCCAGATAGACTTCCTATATTAAGGTAACATCATACCACTATTTCTCATAAAATTAATTTCTCTTGTTTGGACGTAATACACCACTCATAAGATTGCTAAAAACTCTTCGACAGCCTACGACCGGCTTTGCTCTTCTTGGGGCTCACCAGGTAGGCGCAGTCTCCGAGTTATCGTAAACATTGTTCTACTTGAACTCGAATCGCGTACATCGTAAAGAAGAGATTCAGCTCCATGTGTACCGTGTCGTTCGGAATGTACTAGTGTAGGACTGACAGTAACGTTCAAGAGCAGTCATCGAAGCCAGGTGGGATTGGGTCGGCCACGAAACAAAGGTCCGAAACATGGGAGAAGACACCGTGTACTTAAAGTGACAGATAGTGAAACGATTTGTCAAATAGAATAAAAATCGACTGCAAATGAAGATGTGAGTCAAGCTCACTCCTCTGATGTGTGGCCTATCGGACGACTTACATCGCCCGAACGCCACTTTAAGTCATAGTCGATGCGCTTACAACTTATTAGTAATTCTTCATGAATGAGTCTAATAAACTGTCAGCGCCACTAGTGAATCATAAAAAAGACCCCCATATTGGAAACCTTCTGAATATCGTTGAATGCGGCAATCACTAAATTGGTCGAAAACAATTCTTCGACTTTCAATTAACTGAACATTTACTGCGCCGAACACTCAATAGCTAAACTTCCAGCTTATCAGGCATTTGATCCATATGCCTTCAATTCATCGAATCGACACTAGTTAGACGATTAAAACTGAGATGTCCTGGCTATCAGTGGTCTCAATTGTCAGGCTTCCAGCAAATTAGCTGTAATATGGCTAGCTTCAATCAGGTTCAGAATATACCAAATCCTTTGCTTTATAGGAAGTCTACAAATATCGGTGGAAGGTTCTACTCCCTTGTTGAGTAAAATACCGGGTCGGACGGGGTATATATTTTCGAAAGTAAGGGACCGTTGCATGCCAGACTTAATGATACGATTATACTACCATACTTCACTAACAGTTCACTCACCTTGCAACCTTTAGTCCATGTACCTGTTCACCTTGATGTCATGATACCTTGGATTCTGTGGTATTTTTATCGGTAAACTGCCATTCTGGTACTTTTTACGGAAACTTGCCAACAAAAGCCATTGCGGAACGGAACTAATCCCAAAAAATATTTAGAAGAGACGCCCTCCGTCAACGATACTCCATCTTTAGATCACTCCCAACACATTAAAGTTTGTCATTTTATTCTTAAGAATGATTTTACCTTAGAGTTTAGAGGATCCTCAGCGCGGTTCACTCCAGTCACTACTACGAAAGTACCGAGTCTCCATTTATTATAGTCTATGAAAAGCTATTTAAAAATGATTGCGAGTGTTGACAGATGGCTGTGCCTACCCTTGAGACTACCCTGACGAGTCCTGAGTGTTACTCACTCGGGAGTTTGGCATTTATCTCCCTCATACCGCTGGAATTAATGAGCTAGCCTAGTTATATGTCTTGGCCACTCAATGACTGATAAAACGCAGAAAGTTTTTCACGCTCACAGAATATACAACATGTTAGCGTGCGCGGTACTGTCTTTCTGGACCTATGAATAAGCGCGAAACACAGTATCACCTCACCTGAGGCGTCAAATAACAATAGGCAGTCACTTCCAAATAAGCCAGAGGGGAAATCTTTTCAGTATAGGACGAAATCCCTATTGGAAATAAGCCTAATCACCCTAGAATAAAACGGAAGTAACTTACTCTTCACCTTTCTCTTTATCTTCCTCATCCAAGAATGAGTAATCCCTGATTGTGTCGTATTCGTCCCTGAAAGACAAAGTGAGAAACTGTCAAATAGCTGTGTGAATAAGTTAAGCTAAGACGAAACATAAGGAGCAACGTACCACGCATCACGACAGCAGTAAGGAGACTGCAACTCAAGTCCATGTACTCTATGTACTTGGAACACACATCAATGTTTTGGTGAAAACGGGTAAATTTAGTCGTGTTTAACTAAAATCTATCCTAGAACAGATGAGAGAATAGTAAGCACGCAGTATATGACACAGATTATGATGATAATGAAGACATAAATCGACCAAAATAGACAGTCGGTCGCACGGTCATCACTTACCAGAAGTCATAAAAGGAATGTACGTCATCCAAATCAGTCCACGGGCCGCCTAATCCAGGAACAGGCTGTTTCTTTGACCACCTAGCCTTTCGAGCGAAGAAACCCCGCAGGCTTCCCCAAAAGTCTGCTTTAATCTCGGACACTGTGGGAACTGAATCATCCACAACCAATGGATCAACACTATCATAGGCGTGGCGTTTAGTTGGGTTTCCGAGTATCTCATAAGCTAGCAAAGTGGAGATGGAAAAACACCGAGAGAAATAGGTGGGAGGCAAACTGGTATGAATTAAAAATAGGATCTAACACTTCAGCTACTCTGAAGCTAAGTTGCTGTAAGTGAGCGTCCGTCACTTCCGCCGTTCACGTGTCAAGTGGATGAAGTTGGACGACTACATGAAATTTTATGTCAGCGCCTGTTCTCATGGCATGGGTCCGCGTTTTAGGCTATATAACAATTAGCTCTGTGGCGGTAAACTTGTGACTGTTCTACTCACTCAGACTGGAGGTCAGCAAAAGTAAGCACACAAACCATCATTGGTCTGAAGCAGCTGAGGAGTTCGATACAGGAACGGATCCCAGCCTCGACTGGCGGGTGTGAACGCTAGCAAAACCTGAAGGGAAACAGCGTCATTGGCCCGTCAACATTCGATAAGCAGCGTAAGTGCAGCAGGATTCGTGAGATGTCAGCAGTGACATGTTCTTCATTATCCACCATGCTACAAGGCGACCAGGGTGGTGGCAACAAGTGAGAGCAGATGTGACAAGACGTGACCTTTGTTTGTCAAGTTCATAACTGATACAGCCGGAGAGTTCAAACCGAGACGGCAGAGAGACTGGGGATTCTAATCAAAGCACGAACTCACTAAATTAACTGCAAAACAGCGGATGGGTGCAAGTACACTATTACAGTGATTCAGTTTATCAAAGAGAAAGTCGCCGTACATATTCCAACCCAATTGTGCGTCAACTATCTGTCAACTGACCAAGTCGGTATGACATTATGGCTATTATACTAAAACCCTCAGCATATTCTGTTGGGTTACAAAAAATATTATGCACATCAAGCCATTCTGTTTAATAGTTGGTTGTAACAGTGTGTTGTGTGTCATCATATGACAGAGCGCAATGAAAGCACTTACCACCAGAATGGATACTGCACAAGTCTCATGCAGTCATTGATGAGATCTACGTGACTCCTTTGGATTTAATTCGAGTTTTGGCAAGACACAGTACACAAAGAATCCCAGTGGTGTAAATAATGATAATTCCTGAATGGATCGTACGGCTGGTTTTTGCATCGATCACTTGCTGGGCTGTGTTAAGGAAGGTTCCGAGTCAAGTAAAAGCAACTTATCCAGCTTCGTTCTAACACCTGACGTGTGACGACGGAGCCTCTAGCTGGTAGAAATCCCGCTTGGCGCTCATGAGTTAAGGATTCGCGTGCCATCATAAGACGACGAAGAACTAGCAACTCCAGCAGCTTTGTTACAATGAGAGTCAAACTGAGACTACTGTGATTGTTACGTTCACCCTTTTGCAAATGGGTATTATTATCGAGTCACCCAAGTTGTCTTGGACGGTCTCTTTCTTTCAGACACATGGAAATAGACCAGAAAAGCACCAGCTAAGGAATTTACCGCCATCTTGAACTCAGTGAGTGAAAGGTAATCAGAACCAGAGGAACGATAAAGCGTTCAGTAGAGATTTCGGAAGAAAGCTTGATGTCCACAACCCACCTTTTTGTTGAAGGTTAGCAGGCCGAATTATAGGTAGCAGGTGGCCAACCGAATTGTTGTCAAAGTGCTGGGCCAAGCGGTTCTAAGTGAATGGTCCACTAGCACTTTGTGAGATCATGCGCTACCCCAGTCACACGGTAACAATGAAATATCACCTGAAAACTCTTGAAAAATACAGCATTCGTGTACTAATTTGTCACTAACATATGGTAGGATGGACTACGATATCTGAAGCACTAATATTACGTCGACCAACCGCGGCTTCAACTTTGAAGTCTTTTATGGAGGTGGAATAAGATGAGTCTGACCGTCTATAATAAAAACGGTTGCTTTCGCATTCCGCAGTGACAACAGTCATGAAATCTTCACAACCAAAAGAGCATTATATCCCAAGATCGGACTCTGCAGACAATAACCTGTTTCGCTGATATTTTGGCAAACACCGACTCAGTAGATCTTCAGACGCAGACAGTGAAGTAGCAGACAAACATGAAAGCAGCTACCGTCAAACTGAGTGCTGTGGATCTGTGTGTCTTCCTGGTTGGGGCCCACATTATTCTCCTTGTATGTGGTTGGAAAGCCCACAAAACATGACACCTCAGCGGCCAGTATGCTACAGAATCTTAGTGAGACTCACCATAAGGTTAGTTTCATGCGCTCGGCTTACGTTAGGTTCCTAGGGGATTCAGACTTACTCCGACAAGATGTTCGGACGTGCTCGTTTTAATGCTTTTCACAAGTGTAAACATCTCGCTGCTAACCACTTTTTCTAAAAGACGTGGCTTTTAACGACAGGTCACATCCCTTCCTTTTTACTGTTCCTTCGAGGCTGCAAGGCAGTTGGAAGTCAGTAATAGTACTAGCGTATACTGTTGATCGTGAAGAATGTTCCCCTCCGAACAGAGGCCGTTCCAGTACAGACCAGAAAACAGCCCCCCCCCAATGGTATCCCGAATTTGGTGAAGGTTATGTTGACTGGATGCCATAACAGGCTGCGGGGAGTTGACCAAAGTACGGGAATTCATGGTACCGATTAGACTAGCGGTTGGCATTAGCGGTGTTCAGCCAGTCGCACTGCAACAGTCGGCCTTATGATATCGGTCAGCTAACCCAAAGGAAGAACAAGGGCTGAGATACTTCCAGATTTCCTAAGCTTACCCAGGAGCAGTTGAGATAATAAAAAAGTTGGATTCGAACCAAGGACCTTCCAGTCGCACCTTGGCCACTGATCTTTCTCGAGCTCGGGAGATGATAAATCAATCGAATAACTTCCGACCGTCATTTCATAGAATGATGTGATAGATAGGGCGAATATTCACACCAACAGTACCAGAAAAACCTTCTTCCAAGTAAAAGATGCTATACAGATATACAGATAGGCTTCTGAACACATTCTGGCTCAGTAAAAAGCAATTCGCCCCATTTTCCTTCCTGGATGCATTAGCCATTCTCCATATATCACCAACCCCCTACACTTTTACAGTTAGGTGAGGTTGTCCGAAATCTGGCGGGATTATACCTGTATCCAAACCTATCACTTGAAAAGTGCTGCGTAATAATCCATATAACTGTACAGCCCCAGAGACTGCAAGTCGTAAGTTTGAGGAGCAGATAGGGCGGAATGAAAAGTTTGAAGAACGTTCTCGCCATACATTCAGCCACGCTTTGGAGCTTGAGGTCAGTTAAATATGCATCACTGATTCAGAAACAAGATGCTAGAGGTTGTAATCAGTGTACGGGATGCGCCGCCGGGAGAACAACCGGATCAAAATCTGCACCGAGAAGGATGAGTGCAGCCAGTGAATGTGTGTAGCACGCTCATCTGTCTCAGAACAGAGACGAAATAAGGTAGGTTAGTCAATAATCTTACTAGCTTCTCCTAGATTAGCTACTGTGCATGTTTTATTTATTCTCAAAATGTTTTGGTTTAAAGTTCCTGCTGCACCCGCTTTTGAAGGTTCGGTCTTTTGGTAATCACTATTGACAAAGATTCGAAATACGATCTGTGTCCATGGTCTACAAAGTGCATGCATAAGTGAGATTAAACAGCCTTCACCGATCGAGAACAAGGACCATAACATTCCAGAAGGCTCACGCCCATAGATGTTGCCTTGAAAAGTTATCTGTAGGTGGCATTAGCCCTTCTACGCACCACAAATGTCACGTCAGCGTATGATGGATGTGTTGTTCTCAGTCAACAATGGAGGAAGTAGCGCAGTGCACCGGAGAGATCAGGCTTATCTCTAGATAGGAAGGGCTTTATAGGCTTTCTCCACTTATTCGGAGGACACATTATTCATTAAATGTTGTAAAAACGCTACATACTATTGCATACTGGTAGTCATGACGGTGGTTTGGTTTATCTTTTCCAGAGACAACACTGTGCATTTGAGAATGAAAGTTGAGTCCATTTCGGTGCTATCTGGGAAACGATAATGGTATTTTGAAACTTCAAAAATGATCAGCGAGAGACTTGCCAACTTACCAATAGTTATACAAGAGAAATAATCATGGGATTCATCCTTTACCCGTTCACCTGCAGCTCGACGCTTATCCGGATGATGGGTAAGTAGTTTTTTTCTGTCTAAAAGCAAAAAGGAATAAGAAGCACAAGGTATTGTTGGACGCACATGCACGACGAATGTCGTCTGCACTCGCTAGGTGGCGCAGTTTCTTCAGTCCAAGGATAGCATAGTAGTCATGTGTTTTCCAATCCTTAGGATCCAGTGATCGTAAATATGCTTCATCATCTTCCTCATCAGGATCTGTCCATTCTGGTTCATTAGATGTGTAGCCGAGTAAATCCCGAATAATGGCAACATGTGGATGGAGTTCAAAAGGAATTATCTCGAGGTAAGACGGTTGAGCTAAGGTGGGGTAAAGAGGCCGCAATCTGTCTTACCGGTCATTTCTCAATGCAAAGCTTTCGTTTAGATAGAGAACGTTGGCATATTGCTGTGAAGGCACAATGGGGCAGAATGTTAGCAACACAAAAAGCGGCCCTCGATCTGCAGTCTGAGTCCTGAACATATTTCAACAAACCGTGAAATTGAACTAAGTTGGGTTATTCTGTGGTTGTCGAGGGGGCCAGGCATGAACAATTCACCGTCATCAACGCTGATAACAATACACAAGTGGCTCATTGACGCTTAATCGAGGGAAGCCTCAATAAAGGATGGGAAAGCACGGCGTGGGAATCTCGTGTAAAAAAGTGTCAACTGATCCAGCGTCCTCACACGACAAGTCCGGTGCATAATAGCAGGTGAACTTCAGTCAGTTCGTCCCGCTAATATAGAAAAGAAAAGTGTCAACTGATCCAGCGTCCTCACACGACAAGTCCGGTGCATAATAGCAGGTGAACTTCAGTCAGTTCGTCCCGCTAATAAGTGATAGAAAAGAAAGAAAGCGTTCAGTTGTAACACCCTTCCGGTGCCTAACTGCCATGCCACCCGAAGGAAGCACGAGGGCTAGGATACTGCCAGGTTGCCCAAGCCTAGACAGGGGAAGTCGAGTGGCGGAGGTCGGATTCGAACCACGAACCTTCCGGTCAGTAAATTCGCGCTCTAACCACTTGGGCCATCTCGCATGCACGTCACCGGGATCGGCTGCATGCAATGTCTTGTAGGGTTTTGAGCTAAGTGCAAGAACGCGTGGGCCAAGTCAGGAAGACGTTGAGATCCCAGAACAGTCCAGTAGGCCTCAGTATATTTCATTTTACGATGCCATACCATGGTCTACTCCCCGCGAAACTTTCGCAAAGGACGGAAAACATCACTTTTTATGGTAAACGGTGGTCAGTCATAGTAATTCTTTAACGACTTCACCCTAGTAAGCTCAATGTGCTGCACTAGTGATTTCGATTTTTGTATGTGCAGTTCACCATCTGTCCGCGGACATGGCCGCTGCGGACAGATAATGCGAGGCGTCTTCAGGTTTTCGATCACCGATGCCTCAGAAGAGTGGCTGGTTGTGGATGGCGTCAGCGTGTCAGTAACGAGGCGACTAGAAAACGGGTATTTGGTTGTGCTTCAGGCACCTCAATCCGGAAAAGCATCCAGCATCATCGACTGCGATGGCTCGGTCATGTGCTACGCATGCCGAAACACCGTCTACCGAGACGAGTGTTGTTCTCCGTGCCTCCTTCAGGATGGCGCAAACCGCGAGGTGGACAGCACATGACTTGGCAGAAAGGCGTGAAAGAGATCACGAAGAGTTTGGGTGTTGTTGGTGTTGTGCGACTTCCAGGATGGGGTCCCCGTGACCCCGTCTGTGCTTGGCTGGAGACGTTGCAAGAAATGGCGGCTAATCGATGTCAGTGGCGTTCGTGCTGTCAGTTTCTCTCTAGATTGTCTGATTGAGCGGTTGGAGGAGTAGGCACCTCAGTAGCCAACACTAGGTCCTCATCATCGTCATCATCAAGGGCTTTTAATACAATTATATATATATACAACTACACAAACTTTATGGTTGTACGGCAGTGAAACATCAGTGGCAACACTGGTGTTGCTGTCTTTGATGATGATGATGACGACGATCATGATGATGATGACTAGTGATTCCGATTAGCAACCAATCACTCGCTTACGTAAAGCCACTTTGCATCGTCGCTGCAGCCAGCCAATTCCTCCTATACCACAAAGGTACCAATGATAGAAAATTTGAAGGTTTAGAGTCCTCGATTCGGAGGGGCCAAGTCTCTCACCAGTCTCTTACGGTTACTTTGCATACACGGCCTCTTAATTCCAGCGGAATTCCTTGATGAGCAAACGAAACAACCTGGCTTGTCGCGCCTGTATATCAGCAGATGAACTTCATGTGTTGCGGTACAACAACGGCTAGTGCGTCCTCGATTCGGAGGGGCCAAGTCTCTCACCAGTCTCTTACGGTTACTTTGCATACACGGCCTCTTAATTCCAGCGGAATTCCTTGATGAGCAAACGAAACAACCTGGCTTGTCGCGCCTGTATATCAGCAGATGAACTTCATGTGTTGCGGTACAACAACGGCTAGTGCAGCTGGCGACATACGTAACAACCGTTTTCATTCTAAAATTTCAGGGAATTTCAAGAGGACAGAAGGATGACCTAACACCCTGAGGGTGCAAAACGTGTAGTGAATGCAACAACCACTGTTATCCTGTTTACGATAGGTTGTGCGGACAAATAATCACCACAGCAGAATGACAACATCCGCATAATCCTATACTATTACCCTCCCTCCAAACTTGGCTCCGAGGTGCTGAGGTTGGGTTCGAACCACAGACCTGGTCAGTAAGTGCGCGCCTCAAACACTGAGATATCACATTACCGTCAAAGCTAATGCACTTTTAGGATAAGTATAGCCTTCCGATGTCAACTCCTGAATTTTTAGAGGTATTTTAAAAGACTGTAAAACCTGAAGCATGACTTTGCACGCTTCGGGAGGGAACCACATTCGAGAGAACTGAATGATCTCGCTTAGCTCGTCTAGTGATGCTTGCGGTTCCTGCTCTTCTTCCAAAGTGAGAGCAACGTAGTCTTATTCAAGGTCGACAATGTTCTCGGTCGGAGGGACCTGAACATGGGAGGTTTTGAAGACCTTTCAGAGTTCTCATTATTTTCGCATCAATGACAAAACTGAACAAAAAGTGGTGAGGATTGACATCCTTGTTGGACATCACTGCTTGTAAAAAGTTTTTGGTGAACCCTCCATGTTTACGTACTTTTGTCCTGAAGCCTAGCAAGTCAACGGAATCGAACGCACTTTGGGAGTAGATGAACACCAAGATTATGGAGCGCCTGTACGCATAAAGATGCTCCAATGCCTTTTCACTGCGCGGTGGACAATGAGTACGCCAAATCACAACGGAGGAACAGAAATGTGGGATTGAAGCCACCAAACGAGGCAGCCAGAAACGAGGAAATAATAACAAAGCAACGCCTGTTTAATGCTGGTCAACCAAAGTACGCGAACCACCTAATCACTTTAGAGTCATAGACGCCGCTTAGAAACGGAAGGGTAGGAATTTACCCACTCAGTCTCGCACAAAAGGCACGACCACGACTGGTGTTTGAATGTGCGCAGCCTGGATGCCAAGCTCCGCGAACAGGTCACAGCCGACAGACTGGAAACAACGGATACTGGGAAATGATTGGTTGTTGTATCGACCAATCAGAGCTGTGCGTGGGGCTGAACAGGCCGGTGGCCTTGGGTTAGTCGATAGTGTATTGGTTGGGGGTAATGGCTGTTGTAGAGCACAGTCGTGGACGAAAAGGCCGTTCGTTGTAGGACTTCTTATATCGCAGCCTCAATGTATGAAAGCAAAACTTCCACAACAGCAAATCTGACCTACTTTTAGAAGCAACAGAGATCATCCAATGCAGTGGTATATCTGGAGAAGAAAAAATGGCCAGCGCGACGGCAGTAGAAGGGATGTGATCCCTGGTATCCAAATGAGGAGAGACAAACCCTTCGTGCAATAAAATTTTTAGAGTGACTTATCGCGCTGCTTCAGTCACATAAGATAAGGGAACTGTCAGACCGTAGCCGGCAGAAACACCATTGGCGAAGGAAGCGAACGATTCACAAATTCACGGATTGATACACAGAATCGAGGCTATTGCCCAAGTTGCCCGAGTCGCTTTTGTCCTTGTCGGTCAGTGGTTGTCGTTCACCTGAAAAGCACAAGTGAAAAAAGGGTGTAGCACTGCCCTTTATGTTCTCAGCGCGGGATAGAATCGATCAAACTGAATAAAGCCGTCCAATCTCTCAAATAACTTTATACCTAATGTGTCAGATACTGAGCCTTCAGATATCAACGTATTTATGAAATATACCCGTTCAAATAATAGAAAGCTCCTGGCGTATGCGAGATTTGATAGAATATTTCCCCAAAGTCAGTGCCGAAGCCTCAAAACGATCGAGTGTACCTCGAAGCTCCCGTAAGCGTGGTCTGATGAGTATCGGCCAAAAATACACCAGAAAACTGAAGGCTCTTGTCAGAGACCTTCCTTCAAATCGAAAAGGAGAACCTAGCATTATCCTGTATGATCGGAACTCGATTCAGAATGCTGATCAACCGCGGATATTTTAAATACTCGGCCATCAGAGATTTTCGCATCAAGCGCAGCGACTGGAGCTGCGAGCCCGTTTGAAACACGTCACTTTTTGCAGCATCATTAGAGAAATGAATGACTCGAGCCATGTCTTAAGCTACATGGCCTGTATGTGCTTACCTTGCATAAGGCTTGCCCAAGGTTAACCATGGTAGACCCCGAATCTATGACTGCAGGTTATTTCTTGCCGGACGCTTCGCAAGTAATAATAATACTTTTTGATGTTGATAAATGCCCTGGATATAGCTCAGGTAGTCTTGGTTCCTGTNTGACAGAACAGTGCTCTCGCCACACCACCTGAACAGCTAGGTGTGTACCAGAGACCTGCTCAACAGTTTCCTGCAACGCCGGACGAACATAGATCAAAACAAAAAATTGGGCTTAGCGTCTTCTCTCCTCATAACCGCCGTGCAGTTTAAATGATGCATCAGGGCCTAGACAAACTTAAGGTTACTCCGGCGTATGAAGCAGCCATCGAAAATCAAGGGGTGCCTTTTCCCGCAGGGGATGTTCATTACTGAATTTCACAAAGTAACTTTTGAACTACACAGCACGTGTTTGGGGGCTTCTAAGGGACACCGTTAAAACTTGGATGCAGCACCTTCCACGTTTTGACAGATCCCCAAGATATCATCGGAAATCAGTAAACGGCCGAAAACTTGGATCACAGCAAACTATTCCACTGTATTTAAACTTTGAAATTAAAAAACCTCTCACAGTGTCGAACCCTTTCCCAACGTTTGACTTAGTGTAGGACGTCAAATTGAGACAAG